GGTTTATCTGTTCCCATCGTGTTTTGCCCGCAGGATTTTTCCAGCTCTTTGCATCATTAGATAAACCCAAACCACTATGTTACTAAACATATTAGATCTGTCTGATAGAACTTAATTATGGTGATCCTTTTTCATCCTGAAATCCAAGCCTGGGCAGACAGAGGACACTTCTAATTCATTTTTTATCCACTTTATTAATTCCTAAGACGCTGTTTGGTACATTGATGTTGAGCACACTGCGTTCGTTAAGGGAGCTGCCTTCACCCATCTTGCACTGGGCAGAGCACTGCATCTGCAGTGGGCACATTTGGGTGCCCAAATTCCTCCCCTCAGCAGCTCTTCCCTGGAGAAAGGAGCTCACTGAAGCTGTTCCTCTCCTCTCAGAGCAGGGACTCAGTGCAGGGATCCCAGGTTTCACTCCTGTTGCCATCTCCCTGCAGGTCTGACAGCTCCTTCAGCTTCTTCGTCTTCTTTTTCGTCTTCTTCTGCCAAATAGCAATCTACATCATCCAGGCTGTTGGAATTCCTGGCTGGGGAGACAGGTAAGCTTGGCTTCGCTGCCTGCCGTGTCACACATCTCTTTTCTCACCAGGGCTGTGACTGGCAGGAGCTTTGGGGCCTGCTTCTGACAGCTGCCTGTTCTTTCTGCTGTGGTTCGCCTCTCTCAGCTCATGCACAGCCTTGGCAGGTCCCAGCTGCCTCCCTCCCCTGCTCTTCCCATCCTAATCCCAGTCTGTGAAGGAGTATGAGAAGGGGAGTATGTGAATTACTGGATATTGGGCAGGAATCCTTCCCTCACAGGGTGCCCAGAGCAGCTGGGGCTGCCCCTGTTTCCCTGGCAGTGCCCAAGGCCAGGCTGGACAGGGCTTGGAGCAGCCTGGGACAGTGGGAGTTGTCCCTGCCCATGGCAGGGGAGTGGAATGTGATGAGTTTTGAGGTCCCTTCCAACCCAAACTGTTTTGTGATTCTGTGAGAACTCTTCTGTGCCTCTTCTGCTGCCTTCTCCCTCTCTCAGTACAGATCATATTTGCTCCTCTGGTGTGAACCAGATCTGCCTTGTTCAAACTGGAGCCTTCCCTGACAGCAGTGTGGGGCTGAGGGATCTCTGACCTGAAATCTGAGTACTGCTCAGCCTGATACTGCTGCTGCCACCCCAGCTCTGTCCCCAAACTCCTCCTGAATGTTTCTGGAGCGTGTGGTTGGTGGGCTGAGATAAGCAGGGAGGCTTTTAGGTGACATTGTCCAGAAGGGTGAGCCTGTGCTTCTGGAGCGGGTCCAGCAGCCTCGTGTCAGCAGCTGTGCCCTGCAGGGAGAGCACAGCCTTTCCTTTTGCTTTGCTGCCCGGCTGCAGCTCGGTTCTGGAGGCAGGGAGAGCAGGGCAAGGTCAGCAGCCGTGGTGCCTGCCCGCGGGCAGCCTGCAGGCGGGAGCCGCTGTCTATTCCTGCCCTCCCCTGCAGAGGGGCCCGGGGGCAGCGCTGCCCCGGCTCCCCCTGCCGAGTCACGGGGATGGGGAGGGGCTTTGGTCGGGCCTGGAGAGGCTGCCTGCAGCTCTGTGCTCGTTTCCTGCCACCAGACAGCGCGGGTATTTTTGGCTGCGGTGCGTGAGTGCCTTCCTGCTTCCCTGTGCCACAGTGCCACACGTGGGATGGGACCCGTCCTTCCTGCTGGCACACGGCGTGCTTGGTGGAGCACTTGGAAAGGTTCCTCTCTCCAGAACCCAGGAAATGTTCTGAGTCAGGTGTCTTGGTATTTTCAGCCATAGCCAAGTGCTGGTAACTCTGTGAATTCTCCCTGCCCCTTCCCTTCAACAACTCCCAGTGTCTGGGACTTAGAATGGTGGAATCACAGAATGCTTTGGGTTGGAAGGGACCTTAAGGCTCATCTCATCCATGGGCAGGGACAACACCTTCCACTATCTCAGGCAGCTCCAATCCCTGTCCAGCCTGGCCTGGGACACTTCCAGGGATGGAGCAGCCACTGCTGCTCTGGGCAGCCTGTGCCAGGGTTTCACCACCTCCATCCCTTCCTGCCTCTTCCTCCCACATCCCTGTCAGGGTGACACTGAGGTCCAGGCTCCAGACCTGCCAACTGATCTCTTCCAATTCAGCTGTTCCAGCCTATCTTTACCCCACTTGGCTGGTGCCCATGGAAGTCACCGTTGGTGCCAAGGGTATTGATTTTGCTGCCTGAGGGGAGGGCACAGGGCTGGAGTGTGGGTGGGATGAGCACAATCCTCCTCTAAAAACGCTAATGGAAACCATCCCCAAACCAAGGGCCTGGATGAGCTCCAGGCTCCCGTTTCCACATTTGCTTGGTTTTGTGGTGCCCTGTGACCTTCCCTGAAGCACGTGTGTGCTCCCCGCTGTGCTCCAGCGGTGCTGGAGTGCTGTCCATGCTCAGCCCCTCTCCTCTCGTGTCCTGGCAGCGGCTGGATCGCGGCGCTGTCGGAGGTGCACGGGAACGTGGCCGTGGTGGTGATCATGATGGTGGTGGCAGCCTTCTTCACGCTCTGCGCCGTCCTCTCCCTCTTCCTCCTCAAGCAGGTGAGTGGCTCGGGGCCAGCAGAGCTCAGGCTGCCCCCAGGGGTCCTGGGTTTGGTGCCAGCTGGGAATGATGATGGGATGGGGGTGCTGGTGGGTCAAGAGGTTTTAATTAAAGTAATTTTGCTTGTGCTTCCTGCAGCGATGCCAAATTTCTTGGACACTCTTGAAGTGGGAAGTAGGCTCCCTTTGGAGTCATAGAATCATGAAATGATTTGGCAAGGGACCTTAGAGTTCATTTTACCTCCTGCCAAGGGCAGGGACACTTTTCCCTATCCCGGAGTGCTCCAAGCCCTGTCCAACCTGGCCTGGAACATTTCCAGGGATCCCGGGGCAGCCACAGCTTCTCTGGGCACCCTGTGCCAGGGCCTCCCCACATGCCAGAGAAGGATTTTTTCCTGATACCCCATCTAACCCTGCCCTCTGGCAGTTTAAAGCCACTGCCCCTTGTCCTGCCCAGAGCTGACAGAGCAGCCATGGTTCTGTTCAGCATCCAGGGATTTGCAGTCACTGCTCCCACAGCATTTGGGGCTTTTCAAAGCCTGGTGGGATCCCAGTGAGTGCCTTGGTTTTTAAACCCAACCCTCTTCCCTCCTCCTGCCTGCCAACAGCAGGGCTGGATTTCTGCAGGAGCAGCAGAAATGGAGCTTGGGGGAAGGCGAGGACAGGCTGGACTGATCCTCTTTCTGTTGGTACTTCCTTCTGCTCTCCTGCCTTTATCTTGAAGGAAATACCTGATGCTGTTGGCACCTTCAGGTCCTGCCCTCCAGTGAATACTGGGTTAACCCTGAGCCATCACAGAATTTTGGGTCTGAAACCAGCAATTTTGCTGAGAGCTCCACATTTTCCAGCAAATGAAGCTCTCCTGAAAGCTGCTGTGGAGCCCCTGGCTGCAGCCCATGCTCTGCAGCTGCACAGGGAGCTGCTTGGCCCAGGACAGGCTGGGTGTGTGCAGCAATCCCACGGGCTCATTTCCTTCCCTCCCTCTGTCCCCAGGTGCATTCCCTGTACCGGCGCACAGGAGCCAGCTTCCAGAGGGCCCAGGAGGAGTTTTCCCAAGGCATCCTCACCAACAGGAGCTTCCAGAACGCGGCGGCGGGGGCGGCCTCCTCGGCTGCACACAGTGCTTTCCGCGGCAACTAGCCCTGCCCAGGAAACCCAGCCCTCTCCTTCTCCCAGGAAACCCAGCCCTCCTTCCCGGGCTGCCTCCCTCTCGCTTCCTCTGCCCTCATCTCCCCAACCTTCTTTTTTGTTGGTTTTTTTTCCTGAAAATGCACTTTTTTTGGGGGTACCATGTGAGCTCTGTGATGCCGACACTCCTGATGAGAAGAGGTTTTTTTTGGCTTCAGCTGAGCTACGGTTTGGATGATTCGTTTTCCCTGTCTTGTTTTAGGGTGTGGGGAGATGGGGGAAGACATTCTCTGAGGCAAATATTCCTCTTTCCAGGACCTTCCAGGTGTTTGTCTCTTCCTCCCCTCACTCTGTCTGTAGCAGGAAGATGAGGGGAAGCAGGTTTTTGATTTTACTCTCTCTTCTCTTGGCCTTTGCTATGAAGAATTTGATTATCTGCTGTTTTGGGAGGGTTTTGTAACGTGCATGTAGTTGATGTCGTTAATTTTAAGAACAGAAACTGTACTTTTGGTTTATTACACTCACACGATGCTGTATTTTGACCTCATAACTGCTGGGCTTCCTGAGAGCCACGAAGGAGAATCTGGGAGCAGGGGGGATGTATTTCCCCTGGCCCCCCAGGGCACATCCCGTGCTCCCAGGAGGATCCTGCAGGCGCCAGCCCCGGGCACGGAGAGGGGGAGAAGGGATCAGTGGAGGCTGAGACTTCTCAGTGGCTTGAGACCAGGAGAGGGAGGGGGAAAAGGGGTTTTGGTTTGGCTCCCAGCTCAGCTTGGGGCAGCTGAGGATGCCGGGTCACACAGTGCCTGTGACGCCCTTCTCCAGCTAACCCTGAATGAGCCTTTCCCCAGGGAAGGCTCCTCCCTGCCTTCCTCCTGCCGAGTTGAGTTTGCGAGTTGAGTTTTTTTTAGCTGGGAAGGAACTGTTTCCATGTGTGTTCAGCTGCATCCCAGGATGGGATGTCCCTTGGGACGCGGGTGGGGGTAGGTTCCCACCAATCCCTCAGCCCCGTGTTTGGGTGTCGGGGGGTTTGGTGCAGATTTGGCTTTGTGGTGCCCCTTTGCCGGGCTGGGCTTGTGTCAGCCCCCATCCTGTGCCGGTGAGGGGCGCCGGGATACAGAAATCGGTATTTTTACATCATTTTCCTCCTGTATTAATGGAATTTTTTTCCCCCCCGCGTCTGATCTTTTAATGTTTAAAAAATTATTAATAAAAAATTGTTCATGTGGTCCAGACACGGTGCGCGTGCCGGCGGAGGGGGCGTGGCCAACCTGGGGGCGGGGCCTGGTGAGGTGATTGGCGGGTTGGGGGCGTGGCTTGCTTCGAGGAGAAACACGTGTGGGCGTGGTCATGACTGCTGGGGGCGTGGCCACGGCCGGTGTGGGCGTGGCCCGGGCCGCGGCGCGCCGGGAAGGCGGAAGCGGCTCCCGGGCCCCGAGCGCCGGCCCCGGGGCTCCGCAGGGGCATGGCCGGGCCCGGCTGGGCCCCGCCGCGCCTCGACGAGTTCATCCTCACCGAGCCCCTCGGCTCGGGCACCTACGCCACCGTCTACAAGGCCTACAGGAAGGTAGGGCCGAGCCCGCCGCGGGGGTCGCCGTTTTGCTCCCCAGTTTGCCCCCCCACTCGCGTGGGACCCCCGTTTTCCCGTCCTCCGCATGGGGTACCACCCCCCAGCCCTCCCCTGGCACCCGCCGTCCCCTTGCAGGGGTTCCTTCCCTTCCCTCCCACCCGCGGTGGCTGTTTGGGTGGGGGCTCCAGCGTTGTCCCCCTCCTGGGCAGAGGGACACGCGTGAGGTGGTGGCCATCAAGTGTGTCAACAAGAGGAGCCTGAACCGGGCGTCGGTGGAGAACCTGCTGACAGAGATCGAGATCCTCAAGACCATCCGCCACCCCAACATTGTGGAGCTCAAGGACTTCCAGGTGGGCTGGGGGCTTCCCGGGGGCCCTCTGAGCCAGAGCTGCTCTGGCTTGGATCCATCCCTGCTCCCCACGGGTGTGTCCGTGGGGCTTGGTGCCAGCAACTGGGCAAACTGGTCCAGGTGAGCCTGTGTGGGTGGCACTGGCTGGGGTGGCACGGCGCGGTCTCGTTGCCTCGCAGTGGGACAGTGACCACATCTACCTGATCATGGAGTTCTGCGCCGGGGGGGACCTCTCCCGCTTCATCCGCACGCGCCGCATGCTCCCCGAGAAGGTGGCACGCCTCTTCCTGCAGCAGCTCGGTGAGGACACCCCACCCTGGCTCTGGGGGGACCCTTCCCCGGGGTTTTGGGGTGCAGGGCTGTGCTGTCACGTGCCCATCCACCCGCCCAGCCTGCGCCCTGAAGTTCCTCCACGACCACAACATCTCCCACCTGGACCTGAAGCCGCAGAACATCCTCCTGAGCGCCCCGGAGAACCCCCAGCTGAAGCTGGCAGGTCAGGGCCGCCCCTGGCAGGGGCTGGCAGGGGGCAGCTCCCTTCTCCCCGTGCCCCCACGAGCTCTGTGCCCGGCAGATTTCGGCTTTGCTCAGTACATGTCGCCGTGGGACGAGAAGCACGTGCTGCGCGGCTCCCCGCTCTACATGGCCCCCGAGATGGTGTGTCGGCAGCACTACGACGCCCGCGCGGACCTCTGGTCCGTGGGGGTCATCCTTTACGGTGGGTTTGCCTTTTACTGCCCCGGGGGGCTCTGCTCAGGGCTGGTTTCCCCCTCTCCATCCCCCCCACTGCTCCTTTCCCCCCTGCAGAAGCGCTCTTTGGGAAGCCGCCCTTCGCTTCCCGCTCCTTCGCCGAGCTGGAGGAGAAGATCCGCAGCGACCGGGCTGTGGAGGTAACGTGGGGTGGGATGGAGCTCTGGGGGGTCTCACAGCCCTCAGAGGGCTCAGCCCCTTCCCTCCCCAGCTTCCCAGCCGGCCCCAGCTCTCTCAGGAATGCCGGGATCTCCTGGGACAGCTGCTGGAGAGGGACCCTCGGAAGCGCATCTCCTTCGAGTGCTTCTTTGCTCACCCCTTCGTGGACATGGAGCACGTCCCCGGCCCCGAGAGCCTGGGCAAGGCGGTGAGCGGGGCTGGGGGCTGCTGCCCGGCTACGGGTGCGTTCCGAGCCCTGAGACCCCCCCTGTGTCCCCCAGACCGAGCTGGTGGTGCAGGCGGTGAGGAAGGATCAGGAGGGAGACGCCGCTGCCGCCTTCTCCCTCTACCGCAAGGCCCTGGAGTATTTTGTGCCAGCACTGCACTGTGAGTCCCCCCCGGGCACTGTGGGGGGCCTGGGTGTGTTTCTGGGGGGGGGAGGTCGGTTTTTAGCCCACCCAGCCCCGTGTTTGGTTATTCTCCCCCTTAGATGAGAGCGACGTGCGGCGCAAAGAAGCCATCCGGGCCAAGGTGAGCCAAAACCCCTGGAGGAGGGAGGGTGGGAGCAGCACCCCCATGCTCTGCACCCCGTGTCGGGGGTCTCCTCACCCCCAAAATGTGCACAGGTGAGGCAGTACATCTCCCGAGCAGAGGAGCTGAAGGTGTTGGTCACCTCCAGCAACAAGAACCTCCTGGAGAAAGGAAACCCGGCCAGAGAGCTCCTTAAAGGTAGTGAGTGATTTTTGCCCATCTCCTGGTGTCAGAGCTGGCAGAGGGGCCGTGGTGGGGTTTTGGGCTGAAGGGGGAAGGTTTTGGGCTGAGGGTGAAGGTTTTGGGCAGTCCCTGTAGCCGTGTCCCCTTGCAGAGATGGCCAAGGACAAACCTCGGCTCTGCGCGGCGCTGGAAGTGGCTTCAGCTGCCGTCGCCAAGGTGAGGGGTGGCCTTGGGGGTCCCCTCACTCCTCGAGGGAAGGGGAAGGTGCAGACCTGGTGAGGAGGGGGTGCTGGACCCCTCCAGCCACAGCCAGCCCCCGGGGCCCCTTGCAGGAGGAGGAAGGCAGGGATGACAGTGACGCCCTGGAGCTGTACCAGCAGAGCCTGGGGTAGCTGCTGCTGCTCCTGGCCGGTGAGTTGGGGCTGAGGCTGGGCTTTTGGGGCAAGGATGGGTCCTGCTCCCATCCCTCATGCCGTGGCACGTTTCCCCTGCAGCGGAGCCGGCGGGGCGGCGGCGGGAGCTGCTCCACGCAGAGGTGAGTGCCAGCCCTGGGACACCCAGCTGTCCCCACTGGCCTGGCCCCAGAGGGACTGTGTCCTCTCTCTCCCCACCAGATCCAGACCCTGATGGCTCGAGCCGAGTACCTGAAGGATCAGATCAAGGTAGGACGACTGGGGGGGCTCTGGAGCGTGCTGGGGGAGGATGAAGGCTGGAAAAGGCCCCTCTCCCTTGGCAGATGCGGGAGGCACAGTCCATGGGCAAGGAGGCGCTGGCAGAGTCCGTGCGGAGCGGTGAGTCGCCTTGGGATTGGGGAATATTCCCCCAGCCCGAGGCTGATCCCAGCCCCAGCCAGCCCCACCTCCCCTCCCCGGGAGCCCTGCCGGGGGTGGCAGCGGCGGGGACAGCCCGGTGAGTGCTGTGTGCCCCGGCACAGCCTGTACCCTGCAGTGACTCCGGGAGCTGCCCCGGGACGCTGCTCGCTGCCCTGCCAGGAGACACCGCCGAGGCGAGGCTTGGGCTCCCGTCCCCCCCTCCGGGGTGACACCTGGGGGGTCACCCTGGGGCTCCAGCCCCGGGGGGCTCAGCAGGGCCATCTGCCCCTCTCCCAGGCGCTGGCTCATTTCCCTGCCAGCCCTGCCTCGACCGTCTGCTGCTGCAGCCTCCCGTGCCACGGCGGGCGGGTTATTCCACTCTAATTCCCTCTGCTGGCTCCACGGCGAGGGTATTTTTATCCTGGCACTGGGCTCTGGCAGGACATCCCCCCTTGCTTTTTCGGCTGGGTGGTTCTTCCACCTCCCAAATTCCGGGGGAGCCCACACGGCCCACACATCCAGCCGGGAGCTGAGGGTGGGCAGGGATGCTCCGCTGTGCCTTCCTCGCCCAGCATCTACCTCTGCACCCACTGCTGCTCGTCCAGCCTCCATCCAGCAGCCACTGCACTGGCCCAGCCCGGCCATTCCTCCCTGCCTCTCACTGCTGGAGCCTGGGAATGAGGCTTTTCCTCCCTGGACCTGGAGCCTGGCGGGTACTGGCTGCCTCATCAGTGTCACGACCGTGAGCAGCGCTCAGCAGGGCACGAGCAGCAGTCAGCCACCTTCAGGGAGACACTCAGCATCCTGCCTGCCCTGCTCCACTCCTCAGGGCCCTGGCACCCCAACATCCAAATCATGTTCCCAGGAGTCGTTGTTGCGGGGTGCCGATGTTGCCTGTCCTGCACAACAAGGTACTTGTCTCAAAATCTACTGTATCTCAAGGGAATGTAATTTATTGTCTTTAATAAACTTCAATTTTGATTTCTCCACCTCCTCTGCGCTCAGGTTTGTGATTTAAGCCTAAGAGGGGTCCCCAGGCAGGCCCAGGACCGGGAGGCTGCCTGGGGTCCTGGAGCCATCAAGGTGGGCTGGGGACACTGGTCCTGTTCCCCCAGGAGCAGAGCTGGGGTGTCCCCTCCCCTTCTCCAGCAGTGCTCCCTTCCTGTGCTCCCCAGGGACACGAGGCAGCCAAAGCAAGGTTTGACCTTGTTTTCACTTCCCATCTTTTTATTTTTTTGTGTGTGTGGAAAACACGGAGCAGAACAGCACGAGCCGTTACGTAAAATCCTCTTTTCTCCAATAGATTTTTGTGGCGGGTGAGGAAGGGCCGGGCTGGGCCATGAGGGAAGGCAGAAGGGCTGCAGTGAACCACAGGAGGATTTTTGGGGTGTCCCACAGATATCCTGAGCCGTGCCCCCTTCCCAAGACAGCCTCCCCCCACATCCCACCCTGTGCCGGCTGCTCCAAACCAGCGCGGAGCTTCCCGGGCAGATGCCACAAGGCGCTTCCAGATCTTTTTACTCTTTTTCATTATTATTATTCAGGGCAGAGATTATATCCCGAGGCTTTAAAGTGCTTTCCCAGCCCGTGGTGAGCACGGGGCTGGCTGTGGCAGCGGGTAATCGCATCCGCCTCACGCTCGGCCTGCCAGCACTCCCAGCCCAGCCCTCGGAGCAGCACACGGCTCTGGATGCTCCCCGGGGCTGCTGGAGTCGGGCTGGGTGTCAGTGGCACCTGCACCAGGGGTTTGGCTGCCCAGATGTCACCCAGGGAAGGTGCAGAGGTGTGTCTGAGCGGTGATGGTGCGCCAGTTGTTTTGTTTGTAGCGGCTCTCATCGGGATTTTCTCAGGGCCCTCTAGAATTCATCAAGGTTACTAAGAAATAGTGTGCTAAAATGAGAAAGAAGAAAAGGAACTGAATTCCAAGACCACAAGAAAGAGGTAACAGAGAGCTGTGAGCCACCTGGAGTGTGACCAATGACATATTCTGAGAAGTGCATGCAGAACACGTGGACAAACAAAGCAATAAAAAATGTGTGCTCAGTGTGTACAGCAGAGTTCAAATGTATAAATAAATACATAATATAAACGATGAATGGATTCTACTTAATCACATTGATTAGTTGTCCAAGAGTCCTGGATTTCCCACGGGAGGTGGCACAAAGCAGGCAGTGCTCTGTCACTCAGCTGCCCAGGGAGGAGCTGCTCACTCCAGCCCCATCCATTCGCCCACCCAGCCCTTCCAAAGGGCTCTGCCAGCCCTCACAGGGTGGCTCCTGGGGCCGGGCTGTCACCCCCAGAGGTGGGGAGTGGCAGCTGGGCTGTCACCCTGGCGGTGCCAGCGTGAGGTCAGGCACACCATGGGCTGAGCTGGGTCAGTGTGTGGAGCCAGCCCTGGGCTTTCCCAGCGCTCTTTAATCCGGATTAATCCTGGCTGTTGGACCAGCATGGATGGGCCATCCCTTCCCACAGCCGCTCTCAGGGAAGTTTAATTGTCTGCAAAAAGGAGAAGGGAGATTCCCCAGCCTTCCGTGGCAGCTCATTTGTTTCAGCACTTTAACAATTGCTCATTTAATGCTTTATCCATTGGGAAATCACTCACTCGTCCCACACTCACCACTGGGAAGGAGGAAGATCCTGCAGCTGGCTGAGGAATGGGCTGGTGCAGGAGGGCAGGAGTTTTGTCAATAAAATTTATGTTATTTGATCAATAAAAGTTATTTTATTTTATTGACAAAGTTCCTTACTGCCAGCATCTTCCAGCAACCAGCCAGGGCTTGCTTGGACAAACCCATCCCAATCCCAACCCCACAGGTGAGGAAATTATATAAAACCTGCAAAAGAGAGAGAAAGAAAAAGACATTTTCTGCTTTAATCCACACTTATTCTTTGCTTTAAGATTTTCAGTCTGTGTGTTGATGCCTGGAGCAGTTGTATGGCATGGAGGCTGCAGGGATACTCGGGATACAGCAACTGCTGGAAGCTGGGATGCATCCCTTGGTGGGCAGGGAAAAGGCAGGAGGGGCTGCCTGCTCCTGCTGCCCCCATCCCAGCCTCCCATCCCTCCATCCCAGCCTCCCATCCCTCCATCCCAGCCTCACATCCCTCCATCCCAGCCTCCCATCCCTCCATCCCAGCCTCCCATCCCTCTATCCCAGCTTCTCATCTCCCAATCCCAGAGTAATTCTTCCATCCCAGCCCTTCCTTCCCCCATCCCAACCTCTCATCCCTCCATCCTGACCTCCCCTGCCTCCATCCCAGCCTCTCACCCCCATCCCAGCCTCCCCTGCCTCCATCCCAGCCTCCCCTCTCCCCATCCCAGCCTCTCCCCGCCGCAGGCCGTTTCCCGGCGGTGGCAGCAGGACGCAGCCTCGGAGCAGCATCCCGGGAGCTGCCGGTGCTCGGCTCTGCCGGGAAGGCTGCGCTGAGCCTTAACACGTCTCGGGAGGCGGGCGGGGGGAGCGGGGGCTGCCTGGCTTTTCACATGCCTGGGGGTCATGGTGCCTCCTAAAATAAACCCGCCGAGCTTCACGCGGCCTTTGCGGGGCTCACGTGGGCCGGGAGAGCGCCGAGCGCAGCCCGGGGGTCGGGCACGGGGGCAGGGCAGGGGGGCAGGAAAGGGTGCGGGAGAGGATCCTGGCTGGTTGTGGGGGGATGAACCGCGGGGCTGCATCCCCGGCCCCGTGGCTCCCCGCTCCCGTTGGGATCCTGCTCCCCCGTGGGATGAGCGTTGGTGCATCCTTGGTGGGCAGGGAAAAGGCAGGAGGGGCTGCCTGCTCCTGCTGCCTCCATCCCAGCCTCCCATCCCTCCATTCCAACCTCACATCCCTCCATCCCAGCCTCCCATCCCTCTATCCCAGCCTCTCATCCCTCTATCCCAGCTTCTCATCTCCCAATCCCAGAGTAATTCTTCCATCCCAGCCCTTCCTTCCCCCATCCCAACCTCTCAGCCCATCCTCCCTCCATCCCAGCTTCTTTTCCCTCAATCCCAGTTTCTCATCTTTCCATCCCAGCCTCTCCTCTATTAATCCCTGCCTCCCATCCCTCCATCCTGACCTCTTTTCCCTCCATCCCAGCTTCTTCTCCCTCCATCCCAGCTCTCATCCTTCCATCCCAGCCTCTCCTCTCTTCATCCCTGCCTCCCATCCCTCCATCCCAGCCCATCCTCCCCCCATCCCAGCCTCTCCTCCCTCCATCCCAGCCCATCCTCCCTCCATCCCAGCCTCTTCTCCCTCCATCCCGACCTCTCCTCCAGGGCAGGGGGGGCAGGAAAGGGTGCGGGAGAGGATCCTGGCTGGGTGTGGGGGGATGAACCGCGGGGCTGCATCCCCGGCCCCGTGGCTCCCCGCTCCCGTTGGGATCCTGCTCCCCCGTGGGATGAGCGTTGGTGCATCCTTGGTGGGCAGGGAAAAGGCAGGAGGGGCTGCCTGCTCCTGCTGCCCCCATCCCAGCCTCCCATCCCTCCATCCCAGCCTCTCCTGCCTCCATCCCAGCCTCCCATCCCTCCATCCTGACCTCTTTTCCCTCCATCCCAGCTTCTTCTCCCTCCACCCCAGCCCATCCTCCCTCCATCCCAGCCTCTCCTTCCTCCATCCCAGCCTCTCCTCCCTCCATCCCAGCTTCTTCTCCCTCCATCCCAGCTCTCATCCTTCCATCCCAGCCTCTCCTCTCTTCATCCCTGCCTCCCATCCCTCCATCCCAGCCCATCCTCCCCCCATCCCAGCCTCTCCTCCCTCCATCCCAGCCTCTCCTGCCTCCATGCCAGCCCGTGGCTCCCCGCTCCAGTTGGGCTCCCTCTCTCTCCGTGGATGAGCGTTGATCGTGCCGTGGGCCTGGGATGTAAAGAGCCAGGGCTGGGCTGGGGCGGTGCCTGCTCCCTGCTCTCCCTTTCCCGGCGGGGTTAGATCAGCTCGGGCTGATCCTCCTCGGGTGGGATCTCCTTGCAGAGCCCAGGCTGCTCCTGCCAATCCCCCTCGCTGCTCCCCGGCTCGGTGGGGCTGGGCTGGGATCTGACGGCAGCTCACGTCCCTGCAGCTGCTGGAGTCTTCTGGTCCCGGGGGCTGGAGCCTTGGGAGGATGTGTGTCCACGCCTGAGCTGCCTCTGTCTGTCTGTCTGTCCTCTCGGGAATGAACATCAGGAATCTCCCAGAGCTACCGGCCCTGGCACAGGATTGTCAGGGGGTTGGGGGCAAAAGGAATCTCCTGGTGCAGCAGCGCTAGCCATGGCTTGATCCAGCACCAATAATAATAATAATAATAATAATAATAATAATAATAATAATAATAATAATAATAATAATAATAATAAATATCCATTTCCCAGCACCCTCTCCTGTGTTTTCCTGGATGATCCATCCTTCCTTGCAAAACCAAACTACAGCTAATCAGCTCCCACGGGATTTGGAGCGATAAATTCCCTGCCCATGCCAGGTTTTTCCAGGAAGCCTCACCCCAGGAGCCCCCTGCCCGCCGGGATGCCAGCGGGGCTGGGGGTCACACCTGCACAAGCTCGGGCTCACCCCTGCAGCGTGTCCTTGCTTGGGGCAGCGCACTGAGCATCCTGCAGTGCCCCTGAGGCTGAGTGCTCTGAAGGTTTTGTGTTAAAATAGCCCAAAAAACCTGCAGAAAAATGGGAATTTTGTTTGCTTTAAACCTGACTGCTGCCATCGAGCTGCTCGTAGCATCCCTTTGGTCCCAAACATGAGTGCAACCAGGAGAGGAGCTTTCTTTGAGATTCTGCTGCGAGGAAAACAGGATTTTTTTTTTTTTTCCAAAAGCAGGAAAATAGGAAAATTTTCCCAGGAAAACAGAGCTCAGGGAGAAAAGTAAATGCATAGACATCTCCTGGTATTTATTCCACCGGTTATAACAGTACCATGGCACGGGGACAGCACAGAGGTGAGGGACACTCAACCGAGCACGGCACGACTACAGCACGACGAGCGGGAGGACGGGGAGACATTCCCTCATGGCTTTGTTCTTCTCCCGG